CGGAGTGGGCTGTCAGGGGACCGCTTTTAGGTCACTCCTCTGCCTGGCCAGTAACTCAGGGGTGCTGCCGTTTTCATTTCTCTCCTGTCCAACCTGGAAAGAAACTGCCCTTCTTTGGGGAGCAATCTGCATGGCAGAGGACTGCTCCCTGTGGTTCGTGCCTGGTCTTTATTTTTTGTGGGGTGAAAAGGGAAAGACAACTTGCAGAAAGCGAATGGAAGAGGGGTTATGAGGATGAGAGAGAGGACTTAGGGAGAAAGTCAAGAAAGGAGAATAGTGCTTCCCAGTGTTGAAGTGAGTGTGGCATTGCCACAGTACTGCAATCTGTGTGCCCTGATGATGACTCACATAATTCCCCATGTCCTCTTCTCCCAAGGAGGCTGTCTACAATACCTTTTTACTGTTTCATCAGCTGAAGGATCTGAGCCACTCTGGTGTTTGGGGAGCTGTCAGCTTGATTCCCAGAAAGGCCTCCTGAGCACTGCCTGCACCTCAAGCGAAGGGCCAGGGGCCATCACTGCCTCCTGCTCACCTTTTCCACTCCTGGGACTCCTACACCTGCTGTTCTCTCCTTTTCAGAGGCCACTTCTCAGGGAAAGGGGCTGGGCAGCAGACACAGGAACAGGCCGACAAAGGGGCCAGAGCATACAAAGTAGTTTCATGGGTTTTTGTCCACAACGGGCAGGCGCTCCATGAGCCCATCTGCAGCGTTGGCCAGAAGAAGAGTTGCCATCAGGAGGAGCACTGAAACGTGACTGCAAACGTGAGGCAATGAGGACATGTCCATCTGCTGGAATTCGGGGAGGACAGCCATGCAGTGGAAGGAAAACCTGGATGGGCTGTGGAGGGATGGGGTGAGATTCCCAGAAGAATTCTCAGATACATTCTTAAACTCCCTCCTGAGGAGAGGAGGAAGGCCTCGTTAGCTGGAACCTTTTTCCTTGGTGGGTGGGGTAAGAAAGTTTGGGGCGAGGGCGGAGTTGCTTCAGACTCAGAGGAGAGGCAGCATACTCATACCCTCTAAAACTGCATGATGAGAAAATCTATAAGTATCGCTTTGTCTGGGGCCCACACGTCTTGTGAAGCTCTGTAGTGGCAGACATCAGTCAAGAAACCTTCAAAAGAGCTGATAAAAGATCAGGAGGGATGTAATAAACCATGTCAACAAGGCCAGGCTGTCATAGCCACAGACAGCCTCAGCAGCAGCTGGCTCTGACTGAACAGCCAGTAAGAGTTCAACAGACAGACACTGTTCAGAAATTCCCTTTTCTATTATGGGTTGTGAGTAGAAATGAGAGTGGGGGCTGAGTAAGTGCATGAGAAAGGTTGGGGAGCTGCTGAGCTGAGGTCATGCAGAGAAACATCAACCACAGTACTCAGCTGCCAGGGGAGCTGCTGCTGGCTCAGCCTGGGAGGGGTGAGCCCTGCTTGCAAGGACCAAACATGCACACGTGCACATGAACCCATCTACCCATCACGTGCTTGGCAGCTGAGGACAAGGCTGCCACAGTGTTGTGCACTGGCAGAGGAGCAGTCGGCAGAGCAGAATGAACAGGCAGGCAACTCTGTGTTCAAATTCAGCCTCTGCCACTTGGTAGCTACGTGGCCCAGAACAAACTCCTTAACCTCTCTGGCCTTCATCTGCTAGTATAACAAGGAGCTATCAATACCTATCTTGCAGGGTTACTATGAGGATTAAACGAAATAACTTATGTGACATGTGTTAGCAGGTACTCATTACACCAGTGGTTGCCAACCTTTCGGACCTCACGAACCTCTTCAAAAAGATATTTTTAAGCTATTATATTGAGTGTATATCCTGAACTATTATCATTGGGGGGGAAAGACACCATTGCTAGAGTATCCTGGTCTAAAACCTAGAATCTTTAGTCAGAAAAACAGTTCAATATAACAAATGTCTATCTGGCACCAAAGCTGAAAAGGAACGAAATGTATGGCACAGCCCCGGCCTTCATTAACTCACAGTCTCATTGCTGAGATAAGACACCGATAACAATGAAAGGAAAGGACAATAAAAGCCAGGCTTAAAATAGGAAGACGACTGTGACAAGTTTCTCTAAGCAAATGTGTTAGCCTGTGGAGCGAATGGAGAAAGGTGAGCCTGCCAGCTGCAAACACTGGAGACCCCCGCTTTCTGGCCACATCTCTGCTGTCCGGATGCCCATGCTGTGTGAGAGGAGCAGTGTGGAAACTGAACCACCACCGACGGTTGCCAACCTTTCGGACCTCACGAACCACCAGTGGTCTGCGGACCACCAGTTGGCGACCGCTGCATTACATGACAGGGTAATTTCTTGTTCTTTACTCAAATCCATTTGCTGCTATTTAGCCACAATGGCTTCTCCTGACTTCCCAGTTCCCCACTTAAAGTATTTCAATGGCTCCCCTTTACACCCAAGATAAAGAGCGAACTCCTGATGATCTAAGAAATTTTACATGTCCTGGTCCTTGTCAACCTCTCTCCCTTGCTCTCCTGTGCTCCAGCCACATGGACCTTCTTTATGCTCTTGGAAAATAAATCCATCTCGAAGCCTTCAGCAAGGTTGAAAGCCCCTTCTTCCAGAACTCACCTGCCTGACTAACAGCTCCTCATAACTTCTTTGGAAAAAACTTTTTCTCACCCTCCAGACTAAGTCAGGCCTCTGATAATGCTCTCTTCACCTCACTTTCAGTGCTCAGTCTGCTTTGTAATTATACCTGCAATGATTTACACTATGTCTTAGTAAGGTAAAGAGGTAAGAAACTGTGCTCTTTTTTATTACCACTGATTCCCCAGGGCTCAGCACCAAGGACAATGCCTGGCCCGTTTTAAAAGCTTGAAACATCTGTTGAATAAATGAAAGTTCTGAGGAGGGTTGGGAAGCACTACTATTAATCTGGTTAGCACTTCTCTACCACACTAACCATGTTCTGCCTGGCATGCGTATTGACATTTACTTTTTCCTTTCCTTGCTGGAGTTTGAGTTTTGCTGTATAAACTCTGAATGTTCCACTGGCTCCACACGACAGGCTCAGAGGCGAGGACCCATGCTGGGAAATGGCACAGAATGGAAGAGAGTGTTAAGTGGCCTGAACAGAAAAGAGAGAAGGGTGAACTCTACCTTGAAGACAGTTGTGGACTGAGATAAGAATGGTTTCCTGCCCTAACCTTTCCTTCTCAGGAGCACTTAAATTGACCTTCGTTGGAAGATGAGAATTGAACAGAGCAACACTTACTTGTTCCCATGAAGAAATCATATGACGTTCAGCAGGTGCCTTTTCTATGATGGTCACCTCTGTCACACCTGGGGATGATTCTGAAAGAGGAAAAAAAGAGCCTGTAGAGTTGCTACTGGCCGGCTCTCACACATTTCTATAACAGACAGGTGAATGTGCTCAGATCAGAGAAAGTGGACTGCACCTGACTTAAAAATCATGGCCAAAGAGATAGCCAAATTTACACTTAATTGTAGGGTTTCTTTTGTTTGTTTTTGTGGATTTATTAAATATACAAGATCATGTCATCTACAAATAACAATAGTTTATTTCCTTCTTTCCAGTTTGTATGTGTTTATTTTCTTGGCTAACTGTCCTGACTAGATTCTCCAATACAATATTGAATAGAAGTGGTAAAAAGGGAATTCTTATTATTTATGATGCTTAGATAGCTTACTTCTAGGTTTTTGAGTGTTTCTTTTTTTAAACTTCTAGTTTTTTTAGTGTTTTTTTTAAACTAAAACAGTGTTGGATTTTGTCAAGTGCTTCCTCTACACCTACTGACATGATTATGTGGTTTTTGTCATTTATTCTATTAACAAGGTGCACTACATTGATTTTCATATGTTCAATAAGCTGCACGTTCCTGGGCTAAATCACAGTGGGTATATAATATTTTTAATGTTAGTGAATTTGGTTTGATAGTATTTTGTTGAGGATTTTTAAATGTCTGGTTTTGGACAGAAATATTGCAGTTGTGAAGTTATTTCATATTTTTAGGAAGGAGATTTGAGAGAGGGGGGTGGTTTGCTTACCACACACCTACCATTGACTCCAGCTACCTAGTTTTAAAAAATCCTCTTAATATATTTTCAAAACAAAATACAAATGTGAAAAAAATAATTGATTTTCAATTTGTGATTAACTTGAAATTATGAGCTTTGATTAAATTTATAAAGAGAATGTTTAATGGGAGGCTAGATTCACTGTACATTCAATTACCAGAGTTGTTTAATTCCTTAGGTAGGTTTAGCTTTGAACTATTATCAATTTGCCAAACATTTGAAATGAGTAATAGAATACATTAAAAGTACAAATAGAATTTAAAATGTTTACAGTCATTTAATTATTCAGGTTTTTTCACTGAAGGGTTATTTAGTTAGCTGGACTTAAGTAGATTAAACATTAATCAAAAGAAAACTTATTTACTGAAAAAGTCCTAGATTTATAAAGAGAATAATGAAGCAAGCCTGTAAAATAGCAAGACCTACCTGCCTACCCAGGAGTATAAGATGAAACAGAGCAGAAGTCTGCATGAGAATGAGATAGGATATAGGTGGTGTTCATTAGATTTCTCCTTGCCCAGTTCTATAACTTCATTGCTAAAATTTATTAATTCTCCCAACCACAGCTTGGTGTTTCATATCTCATTTAATGCTTTAGGCACTGGGAAATACAGTTCCTATCCTCGTGAACTTCTATTACAGAAAAGAGACAGACAAATCTAAAAAGCAACCAAATAAATACATAATTCCAAGTAGTGGTAAAGCCATAAGGATTTAAAAAAAAGGTAGGCTAAAGGACAAGAGAGTGATAAGGAAGGGTGTTATATATAATCAGAGAAGGCTGCACGGAGGTGGTGCTATTTCATCACAGATCTGAATGAAATGAGGGAGATTTAGAAAAAGGTAATTTCAGTGACGGGTCTCACAAATTGCAAAGCTTAATGTGTTTATGGTACAACACGGCAAAAGCACAGTGAAATCAGAAAGACAGATGAGGGAAATTCACGAGGGACTGACTGGGTCATGGTTCAGTATTTGGATTTTATTGTAAATGTGATGGGAGGACATCCAATCATGCTATCCAGCGGGCTTAGTCTGCCTTTCTCTTTCTTGGTTATCTGACTAAATCCCATTTGTCTTGCAAAATCCAGCGTCACGCGTGGCAAATATTCCTTAACTCCCAGATGAGGCCAATGGCCAACTCCTGTGTGCTGCTTTAGAACAATAGATTACCGACCTCCTCTCACACTTCTGGGGCCCTCGTCTTCAGATTTTTTTCATATGAATGTGTTCATTTCCCCCATCTTTGTAGTCCCAGTAACACAGCGGTGGTTGCTAACCAAAGGTACGCTAAAGGACACGCCCGTTCAGTAGTGCCGGGCGCGGTTGCCCGGGGAGGTGGCTGCAGCGTTCTCCCAGCTCCCCGTCACCAGAGCGAGACCCAGGGCTTTCAGGACACTCCCTCCGCCAAGGACGCGTCTCGGGAGACCCAAACTCACCAATGTCAGGTGCCTGCTGCTCCTGTGCACGTTTTTGCCCACCTTTGCGGGGCCTGCAGGGGCGACCTCGGGTGCGAGAACCTCCGGGCTTCCCAATTCTGCATCCCTACACCCCCTGCAAAGCTCGCCCTTTCCTCCTTAACAACGGAAGCCCCCGCAGCGATGCCCACCGACGTGCAAGGTGGTGCCGCCACTGTGCTTCCGCGCACGCCGCCTCGCCCCGGGCTCCCTGCCCCACTC